TTAATATCTCCATGTTATACTGTTTGAAAATTTGTTATCGACCAGTTGTTTTCCTAATAAAGTAAATTTGTGACAGATAAATATACATGTACATGTATATGTTGCCATTTAAAAATTCAAGTGAATATCAGCAAGAGAACGAGGTAGAACTAATTTATTATCTTTAATTAGTAGTATGAAGAGTTTTATAAGCATTTGAAAAAAAAAATGATTTATGTTATGTATTTTTGGAGATATTGCGTCATAGTTAATCAATCACCCCGTATAGTTACACATAATGACAATGCAACCAATAAAAAGTTGAGAGCACAAAAATAATCGATTTAATACTTTCAGTTTTTTATGTTATTTGTCAACGATAATAATACTTTATGTTAACTTTAAGTGCAAATATTTAATGAGCATTAATAAAAATGCGATTTAAAATTTTATACTCCGGTCGACGTTCTAAAATTGTATTTTCCTCTATTTACCTATATATAGTCGTTGTTCTTAAATGCTTAATACTATTTTTTTATGGTTTTCTTACGACTAAAACACGAGAGACAAAATTTAACGCAATTCAAAACTTTACTGTGACATAAAATTTCCACTTCAAATTGAGAATCCTTATAACGACGATTCTTGTAATTGTGACAAAAATAAAGTGACATCTATAAATCGTGTTTAGCGTTAAAAAAAATTGCATTACTCTTTTTTTAACCTGTGAATACTGTAAACGGTTTTGTTAAAAACGAACGAAATTTTTCTTGATGGCAAACTTGCAGATTTCCAACGTGACGTTGGCCGCCATAACAGTTAGGTCCGGTGCTTGGCACATTGTACTGAATTCGCGGATAATAAGCATCGATTATAAATTGTCGGTTCCGGTTGGTTTTGTGTAAAGACAAATTGCAGAAAACGTACCGTTTGTCACGAGGGAGTCATGGACCATTAACGTAGGACGAGGATGTGTCGCGCGGTGGTGTTGCATGTGTCCCTTATTAACGGTACATTAACCGCACGGTGTATGTATTGGTCGGTCAATGGTTGGGGCAGTCTAGTGCGATTCAAAAATATTTTATAATACATTTACTATGATTGTAATTTTTGATAAAAAACCGTTAGTTTTTGATTTATAAATTTTGAGGCCCTTCGTTTTATATTTTCCGCTGATAATTATGAAAAAAAATGAACAAACGAAGAATAACATTAAAGGTTTTTAGGCGCGCAAAAACGGTCCGACCTCTTTGTAGTCGTATCTCACTATTAACCGCAACAATAAGTATTGTATATGTGTGTATATTTCGTTAAGCGGATTATCCTGGTAAAAAAACGATTGCTGTAGCTTTTCTGAGGTCCCGGCTCCATTGTGTTTGTATGAGTGCGCATTTGTTCGGGTTGCCTTAATCCGAATGTGGTCAAAACAGTCAGGCTCTTACAAAAGCCCTTGTTTATTATAAATTGTAAATGCTTATAAATATTGGCCCCTGTTTTTAAAGTATAGTATTAAATGCGCATAGTATTTTGATAACTAACTTCAATGGTTCAGTTTAAAAGGTGGAAGAAAACTGTTCAACGTTGTGCGTTTTTTACGTTTCAGCAGTGAATAAAAAAGGTATTCTGCGACATAGATTTTGTTCAATCATTTTATAAATTCGGTTTTGCATCGATATTGGCCAAGTGTATTTTTTAATACATTTTATTTAAGAACTCTGTGATGAATCAATTTCTTTTATTCAGTGGAATTAAGTTTTTTTGCTATTGTTCATTTTGTGTCGAACATGATTATTTAAATATATTTATCTATAACTTGTACGTGGTTGGGATTTTCAATTTTTTGCTCTTTATTTGTACGGTATATTGTACGAGAACGATCAATTATAAACTGACAGTAGGCGTGTCTATATCAGCTTAATATTCAATTTTGTTTTAAATGTACAAATGTTGCCAATTCCAGATAAGGTAATCATATGCCGGTTGTAATGTACAAGATGAAGAGTAAACATTTGATTTGAATGGTAATTTTTGATATTTAATTGATAGAAATAGTTGTAAAAATTGTGTTATTAACTATCGACATGGCGACCTATGAGTGGGTAGAATGATAGCACTCGTTTGATCTGACATGTATTTTAGACGTTTACAGTTTCTCCTGTAAATTTTCTCTTTGTGTTTACAATTCTAGGGAAAATGTAAACACAAAGAGTTGTATACTGGTAAATCTAATCTGCTATACGATATACACTTCAGTGATAACGGATGTAAGTCTTGTTAAACGAAATAGAGTGTAAACGCAGTAAAAATGGTTTATGCAAATAAGTTTGTAAGAAATGCTAGTATGAAAATAACTAAGTGTCATAGGTATAAATTATTAGGGTTGTCGCGATTACACACAGTGAACTTGTCAAAAATTAAAAAAAAAAATGCATAATAATTAAAGCAAATACACGTGTATTTTAAATTGATTCTCGGTTTTGAACAAACACGAGTAACGTAATGTAGACGGTGTAAAGTAAAAAAAAATATATATACAAAATTGAAATAGTTCGAATGAAGCCGTTGTAGATAAAGGTATGCAATTTTCGTTTTTTCATCTTCCATAGAATTTTAATCGTTTCAAAGGCATGCCGCTCCGAGCGCGTTTCATGTATCGTTTGTACATAACATTTTTTAATTATCCCTGAAAAAACATTGGCTACTCTGCCTCGTCCGCTAATGTTTGTTTCAAATAAACCACCGTATATAAATTATGTTATGTCAGACTTTATATTCCTTCCCCTACACCGTAGTACATTTCAATTATCATTTCTCGCCCCTCCCCGACTTTAGCACGGATTTTCGAAAAACTATTGCCGACAATCTCACACCCCCGTTTCGTTGCCCGTGACTTTTCACAATCTCGAATTGATTTAACGACCCTATATGAGCCCACGGCGATTGCCTTTGGCGTACAATACATTTCTACAGGTTTTCTCTGGGGATACGGTTGCCCGTCTGTTTGCCGGCATCGTATCAAATAAATAATTAACAACGTCCTCGCACAATCGAAACAAAGCAACTGCGGAGAGCGTTTTGCCATTATAACATTTTTTCTTTCGAGCACTTGTACAATAATAATTTATACATCATTATGGTGTATAATGAAATATAGTTGTGCGAAATTTTATCGGGTTTTCGACCAAAACAAATTTAGTACCTAAAAGCGACGGCGTTTTATAACAAAATATACAAATACGTTGGTCGTCCTCCCCAAACCCCTCCGCGTGATAAGTGTGTACCGGAGTACGCGTATATTATGTTATAATGCGCTTAAGTCTTATCGTAATGGTTGTGTTGTGACATCACGGTGCGTACCCAAATTAGAGACGGAATTTACTGTTTTAAAAAACGCGTTATAAATCACCGTCCGCTTTTACCCACACGCCGTGTTTTGTTTGGCGGGACTGTGTCACACGGTTGTTTCAAATCTGAACTCCGACCATCGGATTTACAATACATATCTATTATTATTGTATGACACTCGATTAAAAAATAAAAAGTGTTATTGTAAAATATCGCACGGCGTGCCGAAAAAAAAAAAAAAAAACTAATAATAATAATAATTTCACGCATAACGAATCACGCATAGGAGAACATCTGTCGCCACCCCTTTCGTACTCCAACACAACAAACGAACGCTCGTTTTGAGGTCTCCAAAATTGACTCTCGTCGTCAGACAATGATTCATCTTCCGCACAGTTGTTGATCGGTTTTTCTTAATGCTTTGTCGGAAATAATTTATGTTTGTATGGAAAACTTTACGTACCGTATAATGTAATTTCTTTTTTACGCGCAACTCTTTGTGTTCAACGTTCATGTTATTACTTTTCATTCTCACAGTGTAGTGTTTATGAGTGCATGTCTTTTGAGTGAGCTTTTGTTCTTCAACGTTTGAATCACGATAATAATCTATTAGATCTGTAAGATGACTTATTACAGTTATAAGCTCACTTAAGTGGAAATACTGTTTCGTATAAATGAAATTTCACTTTACTTACTTGACTAAGCACTATAGAATTTTTATTGACCATAAAAAAATAATATCTACCGACATGATACGCTCGTGATTTCCGTCTGTGCAGTATGATTGTAAAAAATGTATTATTTTTTATTAAACTCTTTAATCGTATTTAAAATTTATAATAAAAATTCTGCTTGCAGAAAAATAAATGATTTACGTTTTATATAGAAACATAATAATCAATCGTTTGTCCATTTTATGACTGATACGTGTATTCTATGAGTTCACTCCAGTTCAGTTTTCAATTTATTTTCGTTCAATCGTTGAAAAGATACGTTTATTTTAACAAATGTTAAATTTTTATTCATGTGGAACATTCTAAACACAATAGTTGATTAATCCCCGTATTTAAATGTCCCAAAAGAAATCGTCTGTTTAAACATAAATATGATGTATCTGAATAATATTCCAACATAAGTACATTGTTAATATTTCAATACACGTATAATTAAAAACTTCGAAGAAAAATGTATATAAAAAGAAACACAAACAATTTCGAAGAAAAAACTTTTAAGTAAAAACTTTGGTTATCAGTATTAAAATTTTAAATTAAAAAGTATAGAAAGATGAATATTGGTACTTTTTGATCGAAATTTTCATTTTTCTATAAGTATTATATCCCAAAAGTTTTTAATAATAGACATGAAATGAAATTAGCATAGAAGATGTACTTCACTAAAAAAACTCACAAAATGCAGCAAATGATCAAAATATTATATCTTCTAAAAGTTTAATAATAAGATTCAATTTGGTTTTTGTGCCATAAAAATATAAAACTATTGAAATTACATTTTCCGTTTAAATTCTTAAACCAAATATGAAGTTTCTCATAATATTATGACCAGAGCCAGCACTTAAAATCATGAAAATCATAGAACCTTGTATAACACATTTTTTGCGGGTCTTTTAATATATTACAACTAAGTAAGCTACATAAAAAATTTAATTATGTTTATAGGCTGATTTTTTAACGTAAGCGCGGGTGTATGTAAAACAATAGAAAACATTGAAAATCAAACTGATTTTCACCAGTACAAACTTTGCAGAAATTTATGGGTCTCGTGTGGGACATACTAAGCACATCCTTTTCACTAGCCCTGGTAAGAATCAACAAAATGTGTTATTGCAAATACATTATTTTGCAAAAGTACATAAATCTAATGAAATCATATACATAGACTAACACTCAATTATAATTTTATTAATCAAAAGTATTTTTATGTTATCTTAAATTATTACTTTGGGTGGACATTTTTTGAGGTGTGGTTGAATATACAAAAATTAAGAAAAAATTACTTTGATTACATGTTTATTAAAAAAATTGAGAAGTGGTGTATAGAATATACTGTAATATTAAGATTAATTTTCTTAAATTACCACCTTAATGATAAACTTAAAAATGCACAAAGATCAATTTCCATTAAAAAGAACATCATTTTTATTTTATTTTTAGCCAAGATCAGATTGGCCAAAACTATCGAATCATTTGATTTTTGACGTATATCAATTATTCTTTTTTTGGAAATAAATGTAGGTTAAACTTTTTCAAATACGGCAACAGTTCTTGCAGTTGTAGTGAATTTATTATAACTTTCAGATGCGTCCAAACAAGAAAAAACTTTAGAAGTTTAATTTTGAATATGAAAAATGCATTCAAGTTTTATATTAAATCCATTCGTTAAAAATACTTGTGTTATTACATTTTTTGACTCTTTCGGATAAAACGTTTATAAATCTGTCGTTTTACACATTTACTCTGATTTTAATTTCAGAAATCTTGCTTAAAGTTAGTTGCCAAAATCTTTTTTCTTAATATATGCAGTACAACTTATTTACAATCTATGCGCAAAAAAAATACGATAAATAATTCATTGCATGAAAATGATGAATTAATTTACACAATTGTTACGATAAAAAATTAACTCGTCTACTTAAGCAGTTTTGAAAAGTTAGCAATAGTGTTCCGAGAAAAATATTCACAAAAAAATGATAATTACACACTCAAAGAAAATCGTTAAATTCATGAAATCGTTATACAGTTTCCGTGAATTGATTTCATAGAATTGCCACCCTTTTAATAATGTAATTATAGTCTATTATCTATAGACAATATTATAGTAATTAACATATAATATCAATAAAACGTTGGATTATAGAAATTATACATTGATATAGTATTTACTGTTGATAAATGAGACCCTCTAAAAAGTGCAATTTACTAGCGGAGTACCTAAAAAACGTTGCGAATGATAAAATATTCAATTTAACGACGATTTTTCGAAAATGTGTTGAATATAAGGTCTATTATATTGGTTGCCACCTGTTATCATCAACAATTCATGTCGTGTACCACCAAGGAAACCGAGGGTAACACGAATTTATGACCATCCAGGGTCAATTGTCGCACGGGTTAAAGCGGCAACCGAAATGCAAAAAACAACGAAAGTAAAAACATTCAAGTCATTTCTTGATGATGGCATTGTACCACTGAGGCATAGTAAATATTATGATTATTGATAAAGCAACAGAGTTCCGTACCTATGGAAGTTCGTTTGCGTCTAAACACTGACGTGTTCCAGTAATAACAGTATAGTCCATAATCGCGTGTAACAAATATAATATTCAGTTTCATTTCGATTGATTTTTAGTTTATATCATTAACAAATGGGTGTGTTACCGCCGTGTAATTTTTTTATTTAGTACCCTACATATACTTCGGCTGACCGTTATTAGAGTCAAAAATAATAGCGTATGAATTAAAGGTCAATTATTAGTCGTATACGTTTTAAAAAAATATTTTTATTGTGTGATTAGCATGTCCCGGTAGTATTAAACAATTTGTATTTTTATCTACTATCTACTATTTTTTCCTCGACAATACAAACATTTCAGTGCACATGTAAAAAAATCAATTTAAGCGCAAAGAAAATAAAAAATAAAGTTTTTATTCGAACCAAAAAAATAATTGTATTGGTCATAATGTCTATAGGTTTACTGCCAATATTTTTGTGTGTTAGTATGGCGGACACAAACCCAATTACTTTGAGCTCAGAGATAATTAAAAATCCTTGCCATTGTTCATCTTTGTTTGTTTTTCAGTCCATCTGATTTCTAATTTAACATCCATTAAACATTTTTTTTTTTACATATAAGGTTTTTTTAGTTTTTTTGTACTTAGTTTTTTTATTTTTTAAACCTAAAAGTACATAGTCAAAATATTCATGAAAATTCATAGAAAAAATTATTTATCTTCACTGAATTTTATTACATTTTATTATTATTTTGTATTAGTCATCGTTATAAAAACGAATATTAATTATAAACGGCCCACAAGGAACTTTTTGTGCGTGGGAATATTTTAGCACAAAAAGTAGCTACTGTATGATTGGCATGTTTATGTGGCTTACAGGATTATCTAACAGTTAAAGTCTATCGACTATAGTCTAAGCACTGAGACGGTATCATGCAATTATTAATAAATTAACAATATCGTTGTAATTTTATTATAGCTATACACGTGATGATGAAGTTTTAGTACAGTTAAAACTTTAAATATTTCTGAATGATAATTTATTGTTAAATTATGACGTTATAGCATTCTAAATGTCTGTAATACCTACGCGCAGTGCCATTCACAAACCATACAAGTACAGCTCAAAATGTTTTAATATCTTCAAATCATTTCATTGTACATTCATATAATATATCTATATAAAATATTTTTAAATATATTTAGTTTAAATATTTTCCTTAGTCATGTTACTTAACTCATTTCTTTGTTATTATTAAACATACCTTTTATTTTTTTAAATAATATTTAAACATCTTTGATGTCTTATTTAGCGTCAAAATGTAACGAACAGTATCAAGGCTGAGGTAGTGTTAAGCAATGACACTTTTTTATTGATTTTGTTTATTATTTAATTTTTACTTCATATTACTTTCTAGGCAATTGTCTACTGTTTAAAGTAACTAATATTAAACGATTTTAGTTTACCATGTTAAACTTTTTGATTGGGTTTACATATATACATGGGAAATACATGAGCCTTTTAAAAGTCTTTTTTGTAGTAGTGCCAAAGATCTTTGGAATGTTAATGTTATTCATTATGGCTTTTATGATTGCTTAATTAATATTTAAGCTGTCTTCATTTTGAGAGGTAATTATCATTAAAATTAAAGTCTCAATTCAAATATGTTTTACATTAGAGTAAAATGTATATATTTACATTTCAAAACGATATAATCGATCAAATTTTATTATAATTTAAACATTTCAAAGTCTAATTTTTTTGAATAAATACATTTGTTTTTAGTTAAATCGATTGAACATTTTTAAAATGATGATTTAGTATAATGAGAAGTAAATAAAACAAACATTTATAAGGTACAAAATTAATGAATAATTGAATAAAACAATATTTACTGTGGCGACTTTATACGTTCTCTCATTAGTAAAAAAATAAAATTTTAAATAATAAAAGTGTAATTATCATGAATTATCGAAAATATAATATCAAGATAGTCAAAATAGATATTTGTTTTTTTTTTAATTGTATGAAATTGTGTACGTAAATTATGCATGATGCTTATTTGAACATTTTTTGTTCGTCGTTCACAACTTTGAAAATAATTAGTTGAAATAAGCGAAATGATCTTTAAATTGATATATAAGGCAATAACAATGTTCTAATATTATATGGAAAACAAAGTACATAAAAAAACATTGTCGATTTTCAGTTTTAAATAGCACAGTTTTGTTTTTTTCGTTCCTCTACCATAAAAGATTTATATACGTCATAATATGGTCATTAAATGGAACAAAGTTTATGTTTCGATTAGTTTGATAAGTATTTTTATAATATTCAACAATAGACCCCGAGTAATGATCTACTCGTTATCATCATTTTTGAAATTGACCGAGAGCACACAGAGGTTGGTTCGATAGTTGGGAATAGTCACAAAAGTTTTGGAACATTTCCCGACTTAAAAATCTTCGGTTGTGGAATAGGTTTTCTGTTTATTAGGTCACGAGTGTTCCAACACAATACGATTGGGGTAATAACCAAAAATATTATACACTAGAAGATCTTCAACTTCATATAATATTGATTTCGCTTTTGTTATGTAAAGTCGGTATTCTTATACACTTTTACGATGGTAATAAACGAACTATGGCGAATTTCATTCTATAATGTAAAGTAGCTTAAATATTTTATTATTTTTTACTGCCTGAATCATTCATAATATAATACAGGTCTTTTTTTAAAGATACTCTATTAAATCAATAGAGTACTCATTAGCGTTAATTTCGTGGAAATTATGTAAAAAAGCTGTCTATGACATTTTAAAAACTGATATATTTATTCGTATAATCATTTAAAAAGTATTAATTAAAATTCATAGAGAAACGAGATTTTATACTAGTTTAATTTATTTTTCTTGACAATAGACTCGATTCTAGACGTACATGTCATTATTTTATCACTACTATTATTCCGTAGGAGACACTGTATAAAAAGACCATTTTTCATCAGTAATTTTTCTTTTGACTTAATCGACAACACTTAATATTAAACGTTATGTGCTTGTAAAAGATAAAATTAATAGTTTATGAAAAAATTACTGTAATATAGCTTCTACATAGAACGAATATGTTATAATTATCCACGACAAAAACTTTTAATGGTTTTTCTAATATCAATATGCCTATGATACAACATCATTAAAACTTTGCGCATTGTTATTAGGAAAATGAAAATTCATAATAGTTTGAAGTTAGCTACCATTAGACCTAATAGCAATTGAGAATTTAAAAAATAATGATAATGTTTAATTTAGTATTTTTCCTAGCGAGATAAAAATTGTACCTTCAAGTAACTTTTTAAAGTGTATTTTATTAAAATAAAAACGAAATAAAAAGTACATTTTCGCACGCAAAATCAATAAATGAACATTTTGGGATTAAATTAGTGAAGATGGTTAATTTTCCTTTAGATTTAGATTTATATTTATCGTCTTCTCTTATAAGCTACTTTATGTATGTGTCAAAGAGGACAAGAAGAAGTGTCAGTTCGGTCAATGAGAATCCGTTACACAC